CATCCCCTCGATCCATCTCCCTTTCGTTTCGAGTTGACCGATGTCCTCGAAGGCGGAGTGGGCGGGAAGCAAGAGGGAGAGGGAGAGAGGGAAGAGGGAGGGAGAGGGAGAGGGAGAGAGGGAGAGGGAGAGAGAGAGAGAGAGAGAGGAGGGAGAGGGAGAGGGAGAGGGAGAGGGAGAGAGGAGAGGGAGGAGAGAGGGAGAGTGGAAGAGGGAGGGAGAGAGGAGAGAGGAGAGGGAGAGAGGAGAGGGAGGGGAGAGGAGAGAGAGAGGGAGAGGCCGAAGAGGAGAGAGAGAGAGAGAGAGGAGAGAGAGAGAGGGAGAGAGAGGGAGAGAGAGAGAGAGAAGAGAGAGAGAGAGAGAGAGAGAGAGAGAGAGAGAGAGAGAGAGAGAGAGAGAGAGAGAGAGAGAGAGAGAGAGAGAGGGAGAGAGAGAGAGAGAGAGAGAGAGAGAGAGAGAGAGAGAGAGAGAGAGAGAGAAGAGAGAGAGAGAGAGAGAGAGAGAGAGAGAGAGAGAGAGAGACGAGAGAGAGAGAGAGAGATAGAGAGATAGAGATAGATAGATAGATAGATAGGAGGAGAGAGAGAGAGAGAGAGAGAGAGAGGAGAGAGAGAGAGACGATAGAGGCGGGGAGGGAAGTAGGGGAAGGAACGGACAGCAGACAGACATGACATCAGGNCACACACACAACCACACACACACACACACACACACGACACACACACACACGCACACCACACAACACACACACACACCACCACACACACGACACACACACACACACACACATACACAATTTTTTTTTTTCTCTTATTTCCTTATCAACTTTTCTATTTTTTTCGTGTTTTGTAACCTTTCATTAAAAACCGATAGAGAAACAAGTGTTAGAATAAAGCAAATGAACGGTAGATACAACCGAGGACTTTAGTGAAGCCCCACCCATGGCATTCCGACAATAGGCCGTCGCTTAATCTACCCGTCCATCCAGTAGCAGGATTTTTTTTTTTCTTTTTTTTTTTTTTAACATTACCGAAATGCAGTTCCTTATAGAGGTCAACGTTGGTAAAGTTCACGGCGGTAATGGGAAAACTTACATTTTTCTCGCTGTCTGTGTGTGTGTGGTATCTGTTTAAAAAGAGAGGAAGGGGCGAAAGGGAGCATGGAAGGGTAGGAGGAAAGGAGGGATGTGAGTGAGGGAGGGAAAAGAGTGGTGGAGGGAGGAGAGAGAGAGTGAGGGCACAAAGAGTGATGGAGGGAGCTTGAAAGAGAGATTGGAGGGAAGGAGTGAGTGAGGAGGAAAAGAGTGATAGAGGAAAGGAGGAGAGAAGGGGAGGAAGTAGTGAGTGAGTTGAGGCGCGTGAGTGAGGGATGGAAGGTGAGGAGGGATCGGGAGGGGAAAGAGGAGAAGTGAGGGATTGTGTTTGACTTTTAGGGGAGGGGAAGCAGATGAGGGGAGGAGGGGAGTAAGGTGAATGGGGTTTGGAATGAAATGATGATGGAGAGGGGGGCAAGGGAGGAAGGGGAAGGGTGTGATCCTTCACAGTGTCACTCACAGCGGATTGTCATGAGGGAGCAGGAGGTTTAGGAGGTAACTCTTTGCCTTGGTTGTGAGGCTGTTGGCAGGTTAAGGCTGACTGGATCATCCGCTCTGTTTTTTTTTTTTTTTTTTTTTTTTTTTTTGGGGGGGGGTTAATTACTTCATTTTCTTCCTTTACTCTTTTTACGTCTCTTATGTGTCTCTTTCTTTTCTTCATCCGCTCTCTCCCTCTAGTCTCTCTCTCCCTCCCTCTCTCTCTCTCTCTTCCAGTTTAGCTAAAACATCTAGTATTTTAGTCGTTAATTAGGCAAAACTTCTTAATGAACTCTTTTCGGATTTTCTCCTTTGGATGTAAACAAACTGATTTATTACCTAGAAAAGACGAAAGGAATGCTAATTTCACAGTGCGTTAACCTAATTCAAGCTATTTACTTTTGCACCTTTACGTTTCCATGTTTTTAATCAGTTTTGAAATATATTATAATATATATATATATATGATATATTATATATTATATATATATATATAATATATATATATATATATATATATATATATATATATATATGAGGCAAAATCTAGCGACAGAAACTAGTAAATACCAATACGATTGCACTGGAGAACATCTGTGGATACTCTGCTAAGTGGATGGGGGAGAGGGGGGGATGAAATGCCCTACGATAGTTTATCTGTCAAGATAAATCTCTCGTGAAAGAGAGGATGAGAATGAGAGACAGGGAGAGTAGAGAGTAAGGGGAGAGAGGGGAGAGAGAGAGAGAAGAGATGAGAGTTGGAGAGGGAGACATGAAGACAATCAGTAGAGAATCTTGTAGGTGAGCAACCCAGTGTGAATATGTGTGCGTGTTTATAAGATTTTATACACACATATATATACATAAGCAGCCTTCCATTTAACGGCCTCGACCTCATTCCAGCGCGGGAGGGCATGGATCCCTTAAAAA